TGTGTTCCTTTATATGGTGAATTTCAGCAATTTTAAAAGTTCATCAGTTTTGTCCCTGAATTTGGGGCAGGATTGAATAAGATGGCAGACACATGGGGTCTCTCAGAATGTTAGCACTCTGTTATTCCTCCAGAGAAAAGATGACTTATTTTTTGGAGAGTGGCTTTGAAATTGGCATGTATTAACAACTTACTTAAGACCTCTGGCAAGCCCAGGACTTCTCTTTGAGTGAAAAACTTAGTAAGCAGGCAGTTTTGTGTCCCTGAAATTGCACTGAACAGCCCCCCTTCCTCTGTCCCCCGCCCTCCTAATTCTTCACCTGTAGGCTGACTGTGAGGTTAATACCAGACAGAGACTCTGACTGTTTCTGCCTCTGTGCCAAATAGCTCCCAGCAATTTGGAGGGGTGGGCAGGCGGGGAGTTTATCAAGGAGAAGACCGCTTCAAGCTTTACGTTTTCTTTTGAAACACCTGTGTATAAAAATATCCTTGAAAAATAGTGACTCGTATAAACTTGCAGAACTGTTAGAGGCTTCCCTCCCCCCAAACTCTAGTGTTCTTTACCCATTCGCTATGGCAGACTTCAATTCTTCTTTATCCACAACTGTATTTTAGACCTCAGAGAGCAGTCCTAAGAAGCAGAGGCACAACTGTTGCCAACGACCAAAACCAAAACCAAAACCAAAACCACAGAGCAACTGAAGGTTAGACAGGGAACCACCTTCTGTGCCCTGGGATGCAGACCACGGGCACTTGTCATCCTCAGGGATGAGAAGCACTTCCTGATCTGCCATTGGTGTCAGTCTGAACGTTAAGGAGACACTTCTTTTGTCCTCATGTGGCTGTTGGAAGCCGTAGGTTTAGGGGCTCCATTATTCACATCCGCCATGGATGCAGGCATGCCAAAAGCTGTTGGTCTGGGGCAACTATTGAATTTATTATGTGAAAGAAACAACAGTTTAGGGGTACCCTGAAATAGACAACTACCTGTATTGCCCAGCCCCTCCCAGGGGGCACTGAATAGCTATGTGAGATGGATCTCTGGACCAGCCAAGGCTGTGGACACAGAAAGAGGAGCAACAGCCTCAGAGAGACCTTGTGAGAGGAGTTCACCGGGAGGGACTGGTCACTGGGCAGTGTGACTGACTGGTGGGCATGGAGGAGTGGGGACACATCCTGTGCTTCCCAGCATCATTCCTCCCTACCTGCCAGGACAGCTGGCCTTCTATTTGGCAGGCCATTCCTGAGGACCTACTGTGTGCGAGTCCCTCTGCTGGATAGTGAGGCCGGCTGGATAAGATTGCATAGCAGAAAGAGAAAGGCCGGGTGCTTGAAAGATCTTGGGCACCCCGTGAGAGGTTGGGAGCATCTTTTTCAAACTCGCACTTGGGAAGGGGGCTCTGAAGGCCATGAAGAGAGCAGATCAGGGGTGGCTGGGGGACTCAGGGCTCACCAAACAGCCCAGTGGGACCCCTCGCGAACCACTCCCCATGAGACATCTCTGTTGGCTCATTTGGGTCCTCCAGGCCTCTGGGGCAGCACTTTGCGTATAAGAAACAATTCATAAATATTGGCTGATTTTTTTTTTTAAGTTCTGTGGTCCTTCAGTCCCTTCATGGCATAGCTGGGTGCTCTAATTCTTCCGTTTCTTTCACATAAAGAGCTCTCTAAATATTTGGTCAAAAAGTTTTGGTTTTAGATTAATTCCTAAGCTTCAGTTTACTGTGTCTGTTCAATTCCAGCCTTCGGCTCACTTTTTATCAGAGATTTAATCTTTCAAAAATGGACTTTAGAAATCTAAGATCACTTGAGTTTGTCTTAAGGGGGCTTGGTAAATATTCACATATTTAAAGTCATTGCTACTTACAACCAGGGTTTTTTGGGAATCATGCTGGTATAGATAAGTTTGTCATCCCTGCTTCTCAAAACACGTTTCTTGACAAATCAGTTTTTAAACTTTTCTGGTTAGAGTAACACAAAATGGGACTACTGTTATTTTTAAATCTATATTTGACTTTCTAGTTTTCCTTCCCATGTTTTCAAGAACGGAGGAGACACAGTAGATTTCACAGCTGACATCAGGCTAGTGAGGCACCAAGTCATAATTTATTTAGGCCTCACTGGCATCCGGTGGGCACCGGTAGAGCTCTGACCTTGTCTTTGATGTGTTTAAAGCCAGTTATTTTTGCCCTGATGCTTCAAGAAGGACGCAGCCTTGCTGGGAGTTCAGGAAGGGCTCTTTGTTCCCTTATCACAGAGCCAGTTGGGCTGCTCTCGCTTCCCGGTGTGCAGGCTTTGGAAGCTCGCTGCCTCTCCAGATGCCTACTGAACTCAGCACCGCTTCATAGGGCAGCCACCTGGGGTGCCAGGAAGTGGGGGACATGCCAGGAAAGGGTGTCCTGCTTGACAAGGCCACCCAGAGTCCTTGGGAGGGTGCCACGGCTGTTCAGTTATTCTAAGTGGAATGACCGTCCGCGGCGAAGAGGTGAAGCAGGAGGGCTCTCCTCATTCTTCCGTCTCCCTGCACCATGCCACCTTCTCCCTCTTGGATGTTCTGAACATCCCTCTCCTTCCCTCTCCTTCCGCAACCTGCTTGTGGAACTTTATTCTCTGGGAATAGCAGATCGCCGGCAGCGCCTCAGGGTGCTTGTCCTGCCATTGGGCTTGGTATTTTCACAAATACCAAAGCCTTGGGCTAAAGGGCTCAGGGCAGGTTTCAGGCCTCCAAGAGGCTTTTAAAGAAGAAGAGGGAAAAGGAGGCACCCCCCAGAATCATGACTTGTGAGCTGTGACTTTTGTGAGTGAGAGCAGCCCTGGTTAGGGGCTGAGGGGACTGAGGGTGCAGCTCTGCAGGTGCTATTGGCTATTCCAAATCACCAGGTTCTCCACGTGGTGTGTGATTTGGGAACCAGCCCCTGCCGGTGAGCGAAGTTTCTTTAGGTTTCTGTGTTCTCCAAGTGTAGCTCTCTGTCATACACGGGAGTGTATCTGGGTACATGGCAAAGAGGAACGTGAGAGTTAAGAGGCACATATGATGTGTGGATGCGCGATGTCTACCTGCA